TTTCGATGGAAGAACTTAAGGAACGGGAACAGGAGTTGAATGATGAAATCGAGAATGTAGAAAAAGTAATGACGGTTTATACAGCACATATCGCAAAATGGTTGGGTGTTATAGAGAGTTACCCTAGGTCTGTGAAAGATTTCATGAATGAATATACAGCAGGAACGAATAGACTACATGAATTGCAATGCACAGAAATGCGGCTTAGACAAGAACTGGAGGAGCTAATGGAATTGATAGAAGAGGTAAAAGAATTGGAGGAGATGGGAACAGAGGAGGATGAGATTGAAGTAGTTGAAGAAGAAGTTGCTACTTTACTGGTACATCTTCCAAACAATCAACATACTACTATAAGAGTGGAGGAAGGAGTTACCTTAAGACAGGCACTGGCTACATCTATGGAACGCCGACATCTAGATGTGAAGGACTGTGCAGCATTTATAAAACAAAAAAATATGTTCACTATTTCTTGGGATGCACAGATTGCAACTTTGCAATGCAAAGAAATATTTGTGGAAACTATGGAACAAGCTCCTGTTCCAGTTCTCTTTAAACATAACTTTTTAAGTAACACAGTGACTGTAGGGATATGTAATTATTGTAGATCGACTGTCTTATACGGATATATATGTACAGAATGCAATAGAAGATATCATCCAAAATGTATATATCATGCGCCTACTTTATGCGAACATGTGAAAAACCGCAGAGCCTATTATGAACGGTTATTAGCTTGCAATAAAATGACAGGACTTGTTCAAGTTCCACCGAGACCTGTTCCTGTACCGTCGGTCTCTCGAAAGAGAGAAAAGCTAGAATGGAGAGAACGAAATCTTTATGTCCATATGGCGGATAAGTCAACTCAAGTCTACGCCCTAGATCTTTATACAGCAGAGGGTAAGTTAGATTGGAAACGTGTGAGAAGATACAGGAAATTGGTTAAACGAATGAAGAAAGGCGAAGTCAATCCGGAAGTGGATAGCATCTTTAGCGGAGAAGATATTGTATTTGTAGAAGCTAGGGCTGACGAAATTGAAATCGGTGAAGAAGTTGATGCAGGAACTTTCGGTAAAGTTTTTCACGCCGAATGGCATGGGTCTGTTGCTGTAAAGACACTGAAAACCGAGAAACCTACACCTGAACAGGTACAGAACTTTAAACACGAGGTGAATATTTTACGTGAACTTACGCATCCAAATGTCTTAGCACTAATGGGAGTCATTTGCAAACCTTTTCTTGCAATCGTTACACAATGGTGCGATACAACTCTGTACGAGCGCTTGTACGAGTCAGAAGAAAAACTAGCAATGTGTGTAATAACCATAATTTTACGACAACTCGCAAGAGGATTGGGTTATCTACATTCACAAGGTGTTATACATCGAGATTTGAAGAGTAAGAATATATTTCTCCACCGAGGGCTTCACACGAAGATCGGTGACTTTGGACTTGCACTTGTATTGAGAGACGAAGTAAAAGAGAAAAAGGAGACTTGGTTGGAGAGGGTTGAAAGGTTGAAAAAGATTCTGTATTGGCGAGAGTATGAAAAAGAAAAGAAGAAAAAGGAAAAAGATACCAAGCGCGAAGAGGAGTTAAGGAGACATGAACGACTGCTAGCCGGGTCTGTTCCATGGATGGCTCCGGAGGTGCTAAGAATGAAATTCGACGAAAATCCATATAGTTTTGCAAGTGACACTTATTCATATGGTATTGTAATGTACGAATTATTTACTCAGGTCTTCCCATATGGCCCTAAAACTGACAAGCTATTTATTTTATATAACGTAGGACGTGGTGCATTGCACCCTGATTTGACACTACTGCGTCGTGATATACCTAAGGACCTCAGAAATCTTATGGAAGAATGCATTTCGTATGACAAAGAAATGCGACCATTGACCGATGAAATCATAAAGCGAACGAACGAAGCTTATTATTATATACCGAAGATAAAAAGAACCACTTCTTTACCAGCGTACCTTGATGTTTTGCCAGATACTTATTATGAAAGAGCTCTTGATAATCAATATTATATTTTTTCTGACTCTGATAGTTTCGTTGAATTAAGTGACTCAGAGAATAGTTCATTAATTAAATTTATTGACGATGATGACACTGACACGCTATCACCGCATACTGTCTCGGCCTCTCTAATTGACCAATTAGCTAAAGAAGGAGAAGAAGAAGAAAAAAGCGTTTTATCCTAAAATTCTGAAAACAAAAAATTATTTCCATAGTCCTACTATGTCTTACCTTTTAGTGATTGGTCGATAGAGGAAGGAGAGTAAGCTTTTTCTTATGAAGAACTGTATTTACCTTCTTTTGAAATACCGATATTCACAAGAAGAGAAAGCTTACTCTGTATTTATCTTCTCTTTTTCTCAGAGGTAGATATATCTCCAACGAGGTAGAATATATCTCCGAATTAGAGAAGATAAGCCTATTAAAGATTCCTTTCTTTTTCTATAGCAAGTACATATGACCGAAATGCCTCTAATAAATATGCATTTCGATCACATTGTACATCATATGTAGTATTTTTATTTTTACAGCAGGTTTTTATTATAGGTTTTTTTTAGATTTAGTACCACAGGTTGCTAACAAGCTTTTTTGTTTTAGAGAAAATGTTTGTAAAGAAGTAATCTTTGTAAATTATGTAAATGTATATATATGTATATGTGATGTAGCGTTTATCGATTTTGTGTAAACTTTATAAACAGAGCTCTGGATCGAATTGCATCTTAAATTATTTATTAACTGTATTTCAAAATGATTATTTCTTTACTAAATTTAACCATAAAATTTATATGCATTCGTAAATTTTGATTATTTTCAAATTTGTGGTCAGTGTTCGGTATCTTTCAGTTACATTATTGGTCCGTCTTGGTCTACGAAATTGAAAATAGGATTGGTATCATTCGATTTACTCAGAAACAGCTATATAAATATTTAAATCAATAATAAATGCAACTTAACCAATATGTGAATCACGAGTAAATAGAGAGACGTAGCATACACATATGTAAAATTTCTAGTAATTGAATTGAAATATCATTCCGGTTCAGATCTCTACTTAGAAATAATGTAAATCTGTAAGTTATAAGAATGAAACGACATTAAAGTCGTACTGGCCGTTAACTTATCTGCGGGATATTTTTCCAAAGGCTGATGTGATTTTTATATCTGATTTTATCTTGAATATACTCACATTTTATTCTCCTTTTATTTCCTAAAATGTATAGTATATACATATTTATTCAGTCAAGCAGAGCAGTGATCTGGTAATATTAGTACAACGATAAGTTTTCCGGCCGGTATTCTGTTCTGCTTTTTCCGAATGGCCTAAGATAACTATATTATTTGTCAATAGCACGTGTATTATATTAGTAAAATTTAACAAAATGATTAATTTTATATATATTTCATAAAACTTTTTATGACATTTTTACCATAGATCTTGTATATTTAAATTTAAAGTAACTTAAATCTTACGCCACCGGTTTAAACCTAAGTTTGATTAATAAAACTATTAAGACTATAATATAATGTGTCAATAATAAATATACATTTAATTGATGTAAAACAAAATGTTTGTGCTTTTATATATTACAACAGTATTCGAATATCTACGATGTGAGATGTAAAAGCCTCTAATGAAAATTACATGCAAAATATAGTATAATGTAATTGTTAGCATTGGAAAATTATTGCTGTGTCATGTTTAAAATTTATATCATTCTATTAGAAGAGTAAAAACAAAAAGTTAAAAAATATATTTTGTGTATATGTGTATGTAAAAGGAGATAAAAGTAAAAAATATATTTATTTATGTACGTGTATACATATAACAAAATATATGTAGGGATCAAGAACATATATGTAGCATCAATATCGCTATTCTCATATCTCAGTAATAAAACATTAAGACTATTATAATTTGATAACATTTAATGTATGTTTAATTGATGTAAAATAATATGTTTAACAAAATGTTTGTGCTTTTATGTATTACAACAGTATTCGAATATTTACGATGTGAGGTGTAAACACCTCTAATAAAAATTGTATGCAAAATATAATATAATTGTTAGCATTGGAAAATTATCTGTGCCATATTAAAAATTTATCTCATTCCACTAGAAAAGAGTAAAAACAAAGAAAATTAAAATAATATATTTTATGTGTATATATGTAAGTATATATGTATGTTAAAATAAGATAAATATAACTGTATTATGTGTTCAGCAATTTGAAATTTTATTTTTTTGCAGCGATCTCATCCACGATTTTTCTTATGCCTCGTCTAATTTCGTTCATTGAATCAGTAAATATATGTGTTAAATAAATTTTTATATAATTTTAATTGAGAATTTTTTTAATAATAACTTGTACTGTTCGATAATTTTCTTACTTTATTGATTTGTATTAAAATGTAACTTTTATAACTTTTTCAATTTTATCTTAATATTAAAATAATTATCTATCGAGTTTTTTCTTGCATTGTAAGTATTGATTTTCTTATGTCAAATTTTTTATTATTTTTTAAACTATTGATTGATTTGTCGATTTCAGTTAGAGTGAGATTTTCTGTTGTAAAGTACGCCTGAATGATATTCTTTCAGGAAGATGGTTTTCAACTTTTTTTAGTCTGCTGCGTTATACAATAATTTAATTGACAATTAAAATCTGTATTTTGTTCTACAGTAAAGCTCATGATCGGCATCGAATGAAAAATTGTTAAGTTTGTCATCGATAGGATATAGAATATGTAATCTGGTATAATATTAACGAAGCTAACCATTTGTACGTGATATTATTACAATTATGATTATTTTTACGAACTTATGTATTTTACATTAATTCTAAAGTACATTTAAATATAATTTATTAATTGGTCATAAATTATATTTTGCGTATAAGTATTCCTGGAATATTATCTCGTTGTCAGATATTCGGTTGGTGAGATTGTAGGATAAAAAGTGATTTAATTATTGAACATACATGTTTGCTTATGTTCGGTTAAGTTAGGTTATTTAAGAAGATACATTTGCTAAAGGATTTTTTTTAAACATTTTTATAATTGAATACGTTGTTGAAATTGGGAGCATTTTTTAAGTAAAAACTTATATTTAGTAATCTTACAGTGTCTGATAATAGATGTAACGTTTTCAATTAAAAAAAACCGCAGATAAACACGTTTGTGGGATTCAGTAGCGAGTATAAATATGTGACGAGAAAGAGAGTCTTGGCGTTACGTGCCTTTCGCAATTTCGACACCTGATGAGATATCGGAAAGAGTTTTCTGTTCAGAACAACCTATTCGTGAGAGATATTGTATATCGCCAGATATGTCTTATAAATGGAGTTTTAATTTCAGTTCGAGACTACGTTTCAAAACCGGCAATAACAGCGCGTCGTAGTTTGCTAAGCGAAAAGTATACATAAATTCACATGAAAAAATATTACGCACAAAATTTGTTTCGAATTCTCAACGCTATCCGGGATGTCTCATGTAAATAGATCTATGCGAGTATTTGTGAAAGTTTAAACGATATCGAAAATTAATTCAGAAAAGTTGAATAATTACTAGAGATGTGAAATTTCATGTCGATAGGTTTTTCGTTTATAAAGATAAAAAAGACAAAGGTCAACTTTATTCTTTTAAAATAATAATTATATATTCAGTGATTTTTACTGACCGTATCTGGCAATTAAAATTCTTATTGCGAAAAATATTACCCCAGCCAGGATTCGAACCTGGGACCTCCCTACAACCCGTCACGGATTGTAGGGAGGTCCCAGGTTCGAATCCTGGCTGGGGTAA